CGTTGAGTGATGGGGGGAGAAGGAGGGGCCATCCTACCCACCCGGAGAGAGCGAGGCCAATTGTGCTCTCTTGGACTCCCGGCTACGGACGGCTGTAGCATCACCAGGGATCGAACTCGCGATCTCCTGATGATATGGCCAACGCTTAGACGGTTGCGCCACTCGGGAGCCTAAAATGACTTTTTCAACGTTTTCTTTGAGTTGGGTGGGACTACATTTGGCGCAGGTGAGGTCAGATCTGCCAAAGTACCAATCAGAGTTATATGTAAACGTCAGCTACTTGCGTTCCTCTCCCTCGCATATAGTGACTGCTGTCCTGCTGCTCCGAGTCCCAGACAAAACTCCCAGCAAGTAGGTTATTTAAGCTTTTCTAAATTTAACAGTGCTTGTTATGAAGGTTTATTACACTGTTGTTTGTATCGTAGTTAGGTGCTGCTTCCTACTTGCGTTGCCACCTGTTGCAGGATCCTTCTATAAGCGATTAGCTTCATTTACGAGAGCGCGATAGCTTGCAGTCCACCTTAATGGGAGGAACAAAATGATACACCAAACATCCAGGCTCACCGTGTTTCCCCGCACTATAAGACTGTGTCAACTCATAATGGTAGTTTGTGGGACGGTTACAGAAGCACGGTCCAGCAAGTAGCTAGTTAGTGCTAAGCGTATAAATATTCACCAATATTTAGCAAAATGTGATCTTTAGAATCACCATTAAACATCTCTGTTTTGCACGTTTGCGGTCGAGAAGAGAAAAAGTGGTCTATTTGTCCTTGGTGGGGTGGGGGTTGGGGGGTCGGGTGAACCACGCTAATTGGCTCACCATTGCTACTAGAGCTGAGTTGTTTACGTTGCCTTATGTTGTTTACACTGGGTGATCCCACTGTCAATCATTTTGCATTCTGATGCACCCACACAGTTCTGAGTGGGCAGCAGCTCTGACTTTTTGGAGCATTTATGTACGTTTACGGCATTTGGCAGACACTCTTATCCAGAGCAACTTACAATTTGATCATTTTACACAGGGAGGTGAAGGCAGTGAGAGTAGAATACTGGCTTATCTGTCAGATCTTTCCTCTGTATCATCCTAAACTGTCTTTCATTCTGAAGGCATTTCACTTCCCACTTAAGCACCATCTGCCAACAATAGGATGGGTTCCCCTTTTTTAAGTCTCCACTATTATTTCTTCCTCAATTCAAAGTCAAAATAGGGAACTGGCCTAGAGCCAGTTTTTGCCTGTCATATACTATATGGACAAAAGTATTGGGATAACTACACATTACACCCACAGGGGCTTTTATGAATCCCATTCTAAATCCATAGGCATTAATATGGAGTTCCCCTTTGCAGCTGTAACAGCTTCCACTCTTCTGGGAAGCTTTCTACAGATGTTGGAGAGTGTCTGTGGGAATCTTTGCCCATTCATCCAGAAGAGCATTTGTGAGGTCAGACACTGATGTTGGACGAGAGGGTCTGGCTCACAATCTCCGTTCTAGTTCATCCCAAAGGTGTTTGATGGGGTTGAGGTCAGGGCTCTGTGAGGGCCAGTCAAGTTCTTCCGCACCAAACTCACCCAGTCAGGCCTTTATGGACTGTGCTTTGTGCACTGGGGCTCAGTTGGAACAGAAAAGGTTCTTCCCCAAACTGTTCCCACAAAGTTGGAAGTGTACAATTGTCCAAAATGTCTTGTTCTGCTGAAGCATTACGATTTCTCTTCACTGGATCTAAGGGTTCTAGATCAAACCCTGAAAAACAACCCCATATCATCATCCCTCCTCCACCAAACTTTACAGCTGGCACAGTGCAGTCAGGCAGGTAACGTTCTCCTGGCATTCACCAAACCCAGACTCGTCCATCAGACTGAGAAGACTGAGATAGAGAAGCGTGATTTGTCACTCCACAGAACACGTTTCCACTTCTCCAGAGTCCAGTGGCGGTGTGCTTTACACCAAATTTCACAAACTGACTTGTGGCAGAGGTGGCATCTTATGACAGTGCCACGTTTAAAGTCACTGAGCTCATCAGTGCGACCCTCTACTGGCAGTGTTTATCTATCGAGACTGCAAGACTATGTGCTTAATTTTATCAACCTGTTAGCAATGGGTGTGGCTGAAACACCTGAACTCATTAATTAGGAGGTGTGTCCCAATACTTTTGTTTTTGACATTTGTTTATTTTTTGTCCAAAATTTCAAAATGCTAGCTGCCCTTTATACTGTGTCAAAACTTCAAGGCAAATGGACCAACAGAAATGCTCCAAAATTACTTGAAATAAAAGAATTTCTGCATTAACTTGTGTTAAAAGTTACGTTCTTCTCCTCTAAAGTTGCCAGTCTGGAGATACAAAGTTTCGGTCCCAACAGTGTTGATGTATTTCTTTGATGTATGACGTTCATTAATTCAGCCAGTGTGGTTTTATGATCTACATACTTGAGCTGTTCTCTGGTGCGTGTGTTTGGGGATCTGAGTTTGACGATGAGTTTGGGTTGCTTCCTGGACATCAGCATCTGCTGAAGCACTCCACCGCTAGTGCCTGGGGCAGAAAAAGAGATCAGATCATGTACAGTTGGTAGGTTTGTAGCAGACAAAGTCACAGAGATTCTTGAGGAACAGATTGTTTGGGATGGCAGTAAGTGAACGTGTGCAATACAGCAACATGTTACTGTGATAAATTACGCTGCATTTTATTATTATTTTTAAAAGTATTTTAAAATACACCTACATTACACCTACTGTCTATTATATCAGCTAGACTTACCATATAGGTGCACTTTGTAGTTCTACAGTTACAGACTGTAGTCCATCTGTTTCTCTGATACTTTGTTAGCCCCCTTTTACCCTGTTCTTCAGTGGTCAGGACCCCCATGGACCCTCACAGAGCAAGTACTATTTGGGTGGTGGATCATTCTCAGCACTGCAGTAACACTGACGGGGTGGTGGTGTGTTAGTATGTGTTGCGCTGGTCTGAGTGGATCAGACACAGCAGTGCTGCGGGAGTTTTTAAACACCTCAGTGTCACTGCTGGACTGAGAATAGTCCACCAACCAAAAATATCTAGCCAACAGTGTCCTTTGGGCAGCATCCTGTGACCACTGATGAAGGACAAGAGGATGACCAACACAAACTGTGAAGCAGCAGATGAGCTGCTGTCCTTGACTTTACATCTACAAGGTGGACCAACAAGGTAGGAGTGTCTAATAGAGTGGACAGTGAGTGGACACTGCTATGTGTGATCCGCTCGTACCAACAATCCACTTAGTCCAACAATAAAATGGTCAAAATGGGGAACTTATTAATTTTTCCCATGATTATAGAGGGACACTGCAACATTTTTATATTAAAATTTAATAATACAGTAATGTAATTTATTAAATAATATTTTAAATAATAAACCAAATCTAGTGATGCCCCGGCAGCGTGGTATGGTCATATGCAGACTTGAATGAAGATATGTGTCATGCAACATGAAAACGTCTTTGAAGTATGGAGATGTTTATTAATTTGCCCTATCACCCACCTTTTAAGATCGCATTTGCATATTACCTCGTTTAGTAGATGTGGCATCTATATCCGCCTTGCCTTCATATGGAGTCCCTCCATGCACAGCGAGCTCTTGTGTTCTGTACACGAGAGCCGTCAGAGGCATAAGACACATGAATGACAGTTGTGGTTATGTCTGCATGTCACTGCCAGCAAGGTTTCGTAACGTGTAAAAGTGGGCGTGTACCGTAGAGGTATAAGTGCTCCATTTTCATCAAAAAGTTGGAGGAAGGCCCAGCCACAACTCAGATCACCTCTCTCTCCTGTGGACTAATGCACATAACAGCATTACAGCAGACTCTCCGTAGTCTGCACAGTGTTTCTGGAGTCTGGTGTTGTCATGCATTGGAAGTTTAATGGTATTTGAGCATTACAGTGTTTAACAATTCAGAACTTTAAAGGAACGGTTTGGTGAAAAATCATATTTACACAATTTTCCACTTACCCCAGACGTAGCTGATCAGCTCAGACATGTTCTGGGGTCCAGATTTTGTTCTTTAGCTTAGTTTAGTTTAATGTTGCTAACAAATCCAGGAGTCAGCAGTCACCAAATCTGTAAATACATCTTCAAAACTCAACCTAGTCAAAGTAGTAGTAAAAATAAATTAAAACACAGCTGGCCCACAGATTTGCTGAGATTTTTTAATATGGGAGAACTGGGGTGTTGTGCTGAAATCCAACTTGCATTTGCGTGCACACATCACGTCACAGACGTCACAGATTACATGCACAATTTCTGTTGTTTCTGTTTATGACTTCTCATCTTGAATTCATATATATGAAGATATATGTTTATTTTTTTGTATGTTTAAAAAAATAAATAACAGAAAATATGTACGTAATGTAACATGCATTTGGCAGCATGTACACGGCGGGTGTCGGATTCTATAGAGGAAGTTGTAAGTCAGCGCAACATCTGTCTAAAGCCCACAGAGTTCAGCCACATAGTAACCTTTAATTTTTATAGTTTACTGTCGTACTGCGTCCTAAACGACATCAGCAAGTCTGCACAGCCTTAGTGAAGACCTGGATGCAGTTTGAAAGGGTTGATAAAAGAATCTCCCCAATTTAGTCGTTGCCAATTCCAGTCCTAGTCAGGACTTCCCCAATCACACAATACTATCAACACTAGGAGGGCGAAGGCTAACACAGCCTTCCTCCGAGACCTGTGAAGCGCCGCCGCTTCTTTTCGAAAAGATCTGTTACGTCAGCTAACAGACGCCTGCGCTGACTAGCATCGCGTTGAGTGATGGGGGAGAGGGAGGGGCCATCCTACCCACCCAGAGAGCGAGGCCAATTGTGCTCTCTCGGACTCCCGGCTACGGACGGCTGTAGCATCACCAGGGACCGAACTCGCGATCTCCTGATGATAGGGCCAACGCTTAGATGGTTGCGCCACTCGGGAGCCCTTGTGGCTATATTTACAGCAAAGATCTGAGTGACTAGAGTTAGTTAGCAACATTAGCCTCATAGTGCCAGTGCTAAACTAGAGAAGCAAAATTTGGACACCAAACATCCTCAGCTTATCAACCACAGCACAAATGTTTCTGGATATAATTTTACTGATTACACTCATTCCAGTTTATAACTGAAATAATTAATAATATAATTTGATAACTTTAGCAATCTAATGTCAGGCCACTTCAAAAAAGATCGGAGCAAATGAGTGATTTGAAAATGAGTGATTTGAAATGAGCATCACTAGTGTTCTATATTTTTTTTCCCCTTTTTCTCCAGTTTTCTTATGACCTGTTCTACTTATCGCACAGTGCTACCAGCGCTAGGAGGGTGAAGGCTAGGACCTGCTTCCTCCAAGACACATAAAGTGCCACCACACTTTTTGGACATTACTGAACAACTCAACATACTTGGAGAAGGACAACAACTCCCAATACTGTTAGGTCAGCTAACAGCTCATGGGCCAGCATCGTGCTGAGTAACTGGGGGGAGGGAGGACCATCCGACCCACCCAGAGAGAGCGAGGTCAGTTATGCTCTTGGACTCCCAGTCATGGACATAGATGGCTTTGGCATCACTGAGGATAGGGCCAACACTTAGATGGTTGTGCCACATGGGAGCCCCTATAATTTTCTATGGCTAAAAAAAAGAGAATTAATTTATAATATCAGAGCAGTAAGAATCTGCATGTTTTTTCTGTGTGCAAACCAAAGTGTTGTTATAGTTATGGCATATATTGAGTTATACTACGTGGTATTAAAGATACATTTTTGGTATTTTGGCAACCCTATGAGGAACAGCTGAGTTACATTTGAAGCTAAACTTCGTAGCAGAATGTTTGCGCACCAGTGTTTTGTAAGATTAGCCCAACAACGTTTTTATAGGCAACAGTGTTTTACAAGCAGAGATTAGACCAAGTGCACTTTTATGTGGTTACAATAAAAGAGATCAGATACACTGCTACACATGATCAGAGTAATGATGATCATATGTGCTCTCCAATACAAGATTAGAAGATAGACTACTGGTAATACCCTCAGAGGGTCAAAGTAGAGGTCAGCAATTTGATCAGACAATGGATTACATCAGATTCTTTGCTGGTTGGTCTTTATTTGGTCGCTCCCAATAGATTATCTATAGATTTTCAAGTTATTCACAAACTATCTAGTTGGTTCTTAACAGTATTAAAGTTAGGATTAGTGCCAGGGTGAGTGTTAGGTTTGGTTTTGGGCTGAGGTTGAGAGTTTGGGTTTGGGAAAATGAAGGTGAATTTAATAGATAATTAGTTTTATATGGGTTGAATGCAAGATAAGCATTTACAGTGTCCAAATAAAGTGTCACCCAAGGGTTAAAGGAGAGTACATACAATCTGGCTGTTGATGTATTGCAGCAGTCACCAATCTTATCCACAACGGGTTGGTGTGGCTGCAGGTTTTCTTTTCAATCAAGCAGAAACACACCACTTGTTTAAACAGTTGGTCTCAAATAGGTGATTAGCTATATGAGGTGCGCTCCAGCTTGATTTGGAACGCAAACCTGCAGCCACACCAGCCGTTTGAGGATAAGATTGGTCAGCCGTGATGTAATGCCTGGCCTTGGCCTGAGTGAGCTTTGTGACAAAAAGAGTTTGCCGTGTCACACTTAGCCAGCATGTCTACAAAGCAAGAGAAAGTGACGCACAGCCATTTCCATGCCGGTTACAGTTGGGTTCAGGAAATGCTGTGGCATCATAATATATAATTACATTTCTGATGTAGGTGATGCCCAGCTCGAACAGAATGCCCAGATCAGGAGAGTCTGAATCACAGCGGAAAAAACAGTCGCCGTCCAGTAGACAGGGCAGCAAACTGCTCATCTGATGACAGAGGAGAGCGGAGAGGTAAACACTTCAGTGCACACATGCGGTTACATAGACACACGTAGCGTCCCATCAGTTACTTCTGTACATCCATTTAAAGTTGCTTGTGTGTGCAGAAGACGTACCCTTGGAGAGAAGCTCCATGTTTTTGGACTGTTTGGATTGTAAGTGGCTCTGACTGTGTGTATATTACTCAAGACCTGCGAGAGAAAAGAGTGAATAAATACTTAAATATGTATTACACACTATATATATATACACACACACCGATCAGGCATAACATTATGACCCCCTCCTTGTTTCTACGCTCATTGTCCATTTTATCAGCTCCACTTACTATATAGGTGCACTTTGTAGTTCTACAGTTACAGACTGTAGTCCATCTGTTTCTCTGCATACTTTGTTAGCCCCCTTTTACCCTGTTCTTCAGTGGTCAGGACCCCCATGGACCCTCACAGAGCAGGTACTATTTGGGTGGTGGATCATTCTCAGCGCTGCAGTAACACTGACGTGGTGGTGGTGTGTTAGTGTGTGTTGCGCTGGTCTTTTTAAACACTGTGTCCCACTCACTGTCCACTCGATTAGACACTCCTACCTTGTCAGTCCACCTTGTAGATGTAAAGTCAGAGACGATAGCTCATCTGCTGCTGCACAGTTTGTGTTGGTCATCCTCTTGTCCTTCATCAGTGGTCACAGGATGCTGCCCACAGGACGCTGTTGGCTGGATATTTTTGGTTGGTGGACTATTCTCAGTCCAGCAGTGACACTGAGGTGTTTAAAAACTCCAGCAGCACTGCTGTGTCTGATCCACTCAGACCAGCACAACACACACTAACACACCACCACCACATCAGTGTTACTGCAGCGCTGAGAATGATCCACCACCCAAATAGTACCTGCTCTGTGAGGGTCCATGGGGGTCCTGACCACTGAAGAACAGGGTAAAAGGGGGCTAACAAAGTTTTTAAGTTAAAACAAGTTAACACTTCCTCTACAAAGAACTCAGTGCTGCACATTTTAATGCAAAATTGCTGTTTATTTGCTGAACTTAAAATTTAAATGGACATTGTGCTCTAAAATTTGCCATAATCAAGTTTGTTCCCTGTTGAATGTTTGTCAACTCATTTTCACTTAACAATCAACAAACATGCATACGACTGTATATATAATGCTCAGACATGTGCTGGCAGAGCATCAGATGAACACGCTAGTATTAGAAAGCACATTAACCACATTACATCAACTTTTCTGATGCAGGAGACTTTGATTTAGACCAAGATGCACTGTAAACAGGTGTAATGACACAGCAGGAGATTTCAGATCAAGAAAATAAAAAAACTGCTTTGTTGTTTTACTTCATACGCAAGTTATTGCACAATACGTTAAGAGTAATGTCTGGAATAACTTAAATGTTTCCAACCCACCATAAGAACAGAACACAATGGCAGGATGTGGCCAGCGGGGTCAATACAGAGTTATACGCAGAACTATTCAAGCGTATCTAAGTACACATTGTGATAAGAAAAGTACAGTTGAGCAATCCAGGTGGAAACACCGATGTTGAAATGCTCGAGTGATAAAAAGGTGCCTGGACTACAGTCATTCTTTTAAAAGATGGAACGTGGATGAATGTAAGGAAGTCAGAGAGGTAATAATAGTATCTCATTTCTACAGGTGTGCGTGTGTGTGTTACCTCAGTTCCGTTAAAAGCGCACAGACGGACGTGTCGGCTGAGAACCTGTAGCCCCACCCCTGGAGGAGGGATCATTCTGCAGCTCCACAGAGTCAGGGTTAAACACACTCGAGACGAACGAGCGTGAACCTGCTCAGCCACACGCATAAAAACGAACATCAAAGCTGTGAGAATATGCCCAGTCACATTTGCTTGATTGCTTAGGCAACTGTTGTGCACTGCAGACCAGCAGGAATGTGATTGTGTGTGCCTGTCTTGTAGTTGTGTACCTTGCCAGAGTCTGGGTCCAGCTGGAGGTCTTTAAAGCAGAGCTCTGATTGGCTGAGTTTGGGCTGAATGTAATGACTGGCTCTGTATGAAGTCCCTGCAAAATACAGACACACAGGTTTAACCTCTTTAACTCCTTGAGACCACCGGTGGTTCCAAAACGCACTTCCTCATATTCTTCATAACTTTCATATTTCATAAGCCACATTGAGAAGGTGGGGGTCGTATGAGAGCTGTAACTGTCTTCTTTCCAGTCAAATAGATGGGTGATGTAATTTTAAACCCTTATAATAAAAGAAGCTGAACTCACAATTTTTTTGTCCACAGAAAGTCGACCCATTTTTCCACAAATCTGGGCTATAAACTATAAACAGATGGCGTCTCTTCTGTAAAAATTAATATATAATAATATATATAATATATAATTATAAAATAATACAAAGAGCGTCTAAGATTTTTGGCTTTCAGCAGTAAATTGTAAGCAATGTGTGTATGATCATAAAACACGTTCTGTTAATTTGAGGGAACTTTTGCCAAAAATTTACATTTATTTCATGCAGTTACTGAATAATTTGCCTTACGATTTGGTCATGTGTAAACTCAGATGGAAAAAACTAAATATACCCCGGAGAATAAGAGGTTAAAGGAATACGTTGGTGTTTTTAATATAATCTCTATCTGCTGCATCTGTATACAGTCGAACAGAAAATCCTTCAACACTTATAATAGAAGCCAGTGGGCCTTACTTGACCTCACAATCTGATGGAGGATCATACAGAAAGTGAACTCATTATCTAGTCAGATTTGTTTAAAGATATTGTTTCAGAAAAAAAATCGAATTTAGGACTGTCAATATCATTTATATTGGCAATCAAATAATCTACCGGTTGTTTTGGTGATTAATCGAGTAATCTTTAAACAGAAATCTAGAACACTCATGATTGCTCACACTTTTAAGTTAAAAGACTTATTGATCACTTTAATATAAAAACAAAATCAAGGGATAAAAATCAACACAGAGCTGTGAGCCTTGAACTGGGCACTGAAATTGTAAAAGGCATTGTAATTATTATGTATTAATTGTCGCTGTTTTGTACTGTTTTCATGGATGACAGTTTTCGAGCTAGAACTAAAACCTTTGTAGAATCATAAAGCCTACACGGGAAAAGTGTGCTCATCTTTTATGGAGTTTTCATACGGTGTTTGTTCAAGCATGATTTTTTTCTCATAAGATGGATGAAAATTAGCAACCACCTGGAATTCCATAGCTTAGGCCAGGGGTCGGCAACCCAAATGTCAGTTTTGTCCTTTCAACAAAAATCAAACCACCTTGGGAGCCACAACACTTAATGTCCATTTTACCATCTTGGCTGTACATATGTCTCAGTATGTACTAATGTACTAGTGTAGGCTTAAAAGTATAATATAAACGAAAACGCAGACTTGCTTTGCTCTGCTTTAAGCTTTAGCTCAACTATAGCAGCTTTTCTTGCTTCTTCGGCAGGAAACATTTCCAAAAAAATGAGTGCTATCATGAGTGCTATTATCACTGTCTTGTGGAGTACCTTCAGACTGCTGGAGGTGGCCTTGGTTATCAATTAGAAACTCATCACTAAGCCGATTTGTCAAGAATGTAAACTTTAATTCAGCAGTGTTCATCACAACAGGACAGTGTGGCTGCAGGTTTTCATTCCACCAAAGCAGGAGTTCACCTGATCAATTGTTGAAGACTGAGACCAATTGATTAAACAAGACGAATCAGTTGTGCTCCTGCTTGTTTGGAATGAAAACCTGCAGCCACAGGAGCCAGACAAGATCAGACATCCCAGTTTTGATCAATATATTTTTAAATTGAGTAAATCAAGAGTAATCGTGACAGCGCTAATCCAGTTTACACCCCTTATCTCAAATATAGGCAACCAGCAAAGACATTGTATTTTAATATTTTATACTAACGCTGCCCTTTTTGAGTTTTGGTTCCTCTTAAGGTTTCTTCCTCTTGCTCTTTTCCTTGCCACTGTCACCATTGGAGATGCTCATGGGGGCTCGGACCCGGATTATTCTGTAAAGCTGCCTTGTGATAACGCCTGTTATAAAAAGCTCTATATAAATAAACTTTGACTTGACTGTGACATGTTTTCACTAATCAACCACATATATCTTAACTGATCGACTAGATCCGAGATAAAGTTGTGGGAATTTGACTTACCGACAAACTATACTAGTTCTGTCTATCCCTTTCAAATTTGGATAGAATGTAACACGTAGGATCTGCATCGTTAATTGTGTTTGGATCTTACTGAGTGAGTCACAAACCGATGAACTATGACCTGTGACATGCTCCATTAACCACAAGCCTCATTGATATTTACCACGAATGACCTAGTGTGTGTGCACATCCCGTCCGCAGTGCACTGTAAATAGCGGCAGTCAGTCACGAGGGCAAATCGCAATACTTGTACTCAGCATACAGGATGCAGGCAGGGAAAACATTGGAAGAAGCAGAGCAGGTGGAAATGGCCTGTATCCAGCCCAAAGGGAAGCAACTATACATGTATACAGCTTTCTAGTTCTCTGATTCTTGCTGGTCAGCCTAAGCCAGGGGTCGGCAACATGTGGCTCTTTTACTGCCCTGTTGCGGCTCCACAGCAGAATTAGATGTTTGAGGTAAAAATAAAATAATCCTCCTTTACAGTAAAATAAAGCTCTGCTGATCGTTCAACACAGTTTAACAATAAATGGTCTTAAACGCTGGAGTTAATGTAGAACTGCTAATTCACCCTTTAACCCTGTAGACTGGTGTGCAGACAGCTGGTCACCATGGCAACACAGACAACAGTCTCGCCTAGTTAGTAGCTAACGGAGGCAAAGAGAGAGATTTAAGACGAACATCGATAATTTGGGGGCGAGTGGACTTATTTGCATTTATAAGCACTCCAGCTGGTTTCCTGATTCATTTAATCTGCAACGAGAAACTGTCAAACGCTACAAAGTCCCGAGGCTGAAGTCGCTTCTCATTCGCCAGATTCTTATTCGAATTTTCCCGTTCCATCTTAAATGATACAGCAGTTACATTTTGGCGCCTCAGGCACCATTTAAGGTGGAACAGGAAAATTTGAACAAGAAGCTGGCGAATGAGAAGCAACTTCAGCCTCGTAAAAAGTCGAATGTTGAGAGACATTTTTCAAGAAAGTGTTCCACTTTTGAGGAAAAGTTTCCTGCTGGAGATGCGAGAGAAGCGGGTATAGATGAGCTGAAGCTTAAAGCAGAGCAAAGTAAGTCTGTGTCTGTTATACTTATTAGCCTATACTAGTACATCAGCATATACTGAGACATATTTACAGCCAAGATAGTGAAATGGCCATAAAATGTTGTGGCTCCCAAGGTGGTTTGATTTTCGCTGAAAGGACAAAATGGCTCTGACTAGACTAGCATTTGGGTTGTGACCCCTGGCCTAAACAGACAAACAAACTTTGAGCTTGTTTTTAACTACAAGCCTATTGTTATTGCTGCATTGCCTAAACATACAGGATGGTTTTTATTTCAGCAGAGTGACTGTACACTCAGCAGTAACTTACATACTGGCACAAATGTGGCACTGAAATAATGCGTATAAAACTACAGTATGCTTTTATCATCAGCGATAACTTCTAAAAGTTAAACTGCTGCATTTGTTTGCTATGGATAGCCTTGATAATCACTGGCTGTCAGCTTTTTATCTTTGTCAAGATCTGCTTTGTGTACAAGTCATGGTGGTGCCAGCTTGCTGGTTTTGTCAACATGAGGCTAAAACTTCCTGGTCAGCTACAAAAGCGCTGTGATATCAGCTGTGATGTCAGTCACTTGGCTCTTTACTCTGCCCCAACTCTACTAGGGGTGTAACACGTTTTCAGGTTCAGTATGATTTTATATTTTAAGGTCAGCATTCAGTTCAATTTATGATATTTTAATTAACATTACACAGATTGGTTTATATATTCCATATAAGGTTCTCCAGCAGAACTTTCTCAACACCTGCTGCGCCACTCTTTAATCAAAACCAATCGCAAGTACTGGAATCCAAGTGACTTGAGAAAAAAAGCCCAGTCATTTGAGCGTGAGCGTGTTCATAGCATAAGCCCCACCCTTTCCCCACCCACTTTACTCTGACAGGATGCACCCAGATGCCTACTAACAGTAGTGACCAAACAGTAGTTTCCATAAAAGACAGCAAATGAGGGATGCTAGGAAGAGAGTGAGGAGTGTATCGGCAGTATAGTTTGAAATTCAGTTTTTCCATGCGGTACTTTAGGCTCTACATACACAGTGCTGAATGTTTGTATGTATCTCTAGCAAAACAAATTCAGTTCATCATCTGATTAACTCAGGGAAATAAAACTAAACTCAGGAATTAATTCAGTGGTGTAGCAGAAAAAGAACAATTTGGTAAATCAGGCAAGACTATGCAAGTCTGAAGTTTGCTTCTTTAGTTTTGTACTGGAGCTACAAGGCTAATGTAGCTAATAAGTAATGGAAATTTAAACCTGTGTGCCTAAATTGCCACACACTTCCTTTAAACCATGTCCAACTATTAAGTAACCTCAAACAGACGTGCTTATGTGGTTTATGACACTGTATGACTCACTGTTATCTATGAAAACTGGAAAAAAATGAGGCTTCAAGAGTGTTGCAATTACTAATTTTAGATGTGTGATGTTCTTCTGTCCATTCTCATTGATAAGAGTGGGTCATACACCACACCAGTAGGTCTGTTTCAGATTACAGCTCAACTAAAGAAGCAGTGATGGTGGATGGACACCAGACGTGTCTGATCAGCTACATTTGGGAAAAGAGGAAAATTGTGTACATTTTTAAGGAAGCTTACTTTTTCTTTAATGAACATTCAACTCGATATCTATTAAAATGAATGTTAAAATGAATGTGATAGAT